ATTATGAGGACTGGATGGAAATTTTAAAGGATCCCAGGGAGTCAGGGGGAAAACTGTTCATCACTCCTTTGTATATCATATGTACGGTGTCTTTGGAGATCAGTGCCTTAAGAAACTGGGAGCTTAAATCATCACCTATTGTTACATGTGGAGGAAAGAGGGTGGCACAGCTTTTAATTTAAAATCATCCAGAAGAAAGGAAGACCTGATTAATCTGAGATCCAGAATCACAAATTACTGAGCAGATGTATTTCACTTCCTTTTTCTTTCTCAAACAAAGGGCCAATTAAGTTAAGACTACTGCGGAATCCTACTAGTTGTGCAAAATACTGACAAGCCTACCTTTCCTAACTAGCTTGATGCGTATAGTATGACTGGCTAGAATGATGTAGTGCTTAAATGTAAGATGAAAAAGAAGACAAGGAAAAAATCAACTCCTTCATCAAGTACAACCTTGCAATGTGTAAATTTGCTCCCAGGTTGCTATGAGGGTGAAGCTGCAGGACAGCAAGCTGGAGCACTGCTTAGGCACAAATTTCCCAGCAATGAGAAACTTAAAGCAGTTCTTTACATTTCACAGCTCTGACGTGGTAATCAGACTGCAGATTATTCACTTTCACATCTAAACCCCTTTCACAAAAGAACTCTAGGCTCACTGGTTCTAATATACAGTGGATCTGGTTGGTTTGTTTTTCAATGGGAAGTGCACTCCTGAAACCTCATAGTCAAAGGTTTTTCTTCAGGTGAAGGAAACCTAAGCTTCTGGGCAGCTTTAGGGGCACCTGTCTTCATTGCTTGATCCAGGAGTACACACTGATGTAGAGCTTGATTTTGCTGAGTACAAACAGATGAGACCGAGTCACAGCCTTCTCAGTTCCACAGGTATCAAACCTGTGTCAAGTTCCTGCTCAAAACAACACCCTTCTGCTTTGTGGACATGGCAGGAGCAGGACATGGCATTTCCTTTGAATGAATACTTATAAATTCCAGACTTTCAAACATATTGCTCACTACAGAGTAAGCACTTTCAGTGCAGGGACTGTCCTGACTTGGACTGGCTGGCACTCAGCACATTCTCAGCACTTAGCCTGTAATGATAAATAAAGATGGGGTTTTCAAAGCTGCAGAAAGAAATGTAAGCTTACCATTCCTGTTACATCTGTAAAAACATGAGAATTCAGATCTCTGAGCTGGCTTTGCAAATGTCACCATAAAATTTATAAGTGGTGCCTGAAAAAGGCAAGTGGGTAGAATGGGTGCCAAAGATTACGCTTTCACTCTAAGTTAACAAAATTACTTCTAGAAATTTCCCTCAGTCTTAGATAACCATAATCCCTTCCTATTTCTCAAGTAGCTTTAACATCATCAAAGGAGATCTCAGTAATGGTGTAGCACTGAGCCATTGGTGATCCAATCCATGCTGAAATAAACCATGCTGTCTATGCTGTATGAGCTGAAGGCAGCAGGATGCTTCTCTTAAATATCTCAGCTATGGTGAAAGCACTCTGCTTCAGAAGTCACATAGGAACAATATGTATTCCGTGGCAGGGAATAAGAGAAGCCAGATACACTCCAATAAAGAGGTTATTCAAGAACTTAGTCAGTGTAGGAACAGCAGAAACCAACTCTTTTGTACGTTTGAAGAACTAAGACCAAGGGGATCATTTGTAATGCAGGATATATTTACCTGATTTCAAAGTCTTATGATTATATGATTTAGGAGAGTGCACTTAAGTCAGCAGCAGAATCAGGAAGATTCCCTACAACCTGTCTTATCTATGCAGGTATTCCTACCCTTAAAATTTAGTGTGAAAATGAAGTCAACAGTAATTTTGCATAAGTAAAGATTTCAGGGTTTGGTCACATCCTTTGCATTGGTTGTAGTGAATCACATAGGAGCTCCTCAGCTTGGTGGTTCAAACCTTCATGTAAAGACACTAAAGCCTTTTCATTTAGATGGTATTCTATAACTGACACTCTTGGGCTATGACAGCTAATCTCTAGGAGGCAATAAAGGCTTACCAGAAAATTTGGTTGAGGAAGTATAAGATTTATCTCTACCAACTCAAAGGGCTAAGTACTTAAGGCTATAGCAGAACAGCCCTTAGAGAGGAGTTTGTGGGTCCCTAGAATTTTCTTCTTTTTAATGACTCTCTGTGCTTCTTGCATGCTATAAAAAACATCCCTTTTTGCATTGCAGCATCTCTATTTCCTTTGATCTGTAGACATTTCTCATTGATGCTAATAGAGAATGACACTGATGGGGAATATTTTTGCAACAGAGGGAGCATAGAATTGTTATTCTGGCTCAAGCAAAAGCAATATGACTTAAGCAGAGTATTTAAAAGGCTTTACTCAAGGCTGTGCAATTGAACATGATATTAGGCTTTCTCTCTCTTTTTTTTTAATTTTCATTGAGATTATGTCCATATTTTATCCAGATTATTGTGTTCTTGTAAAATTATACTGCAACCCACTCTAGCACGTTAACAACAAAAGAAATTCTCTAGCTTATTATAAACATCTTTCAAGAAACCAGAAGCACATGTCCTCTGGAAATAATTTTGCTGGTATTTAGGTTATTACAAAAAAATTTCCCAAAACACTGGAATTATTTCGTAATGTTCCTTTATACTCTAGCTTGTTATCTTAGGTTTTCTAGAGTATTCTCCTGGTGCCCCAGTACGGTACCTTCCTTGGGTTGCACAAGGAAGCTGCAGAAGTAGTCCAGAAACTCAGCAATTTGTGTCTGCCTCTGCAGTGATGATTACCTAGTAACTATGTGCCATCAGTGAAAAAAAGACCTAGCGTAGACATCAGCTGTGCAATAATTATAGTTTGAGAAAAAAGTTATTTTATCCTGCTGAGATTTGGCAGAATGATGATAATACTTTTTTGCCTCAAAGCAGACAAAAAATTTAAAATCTGAGAGATTTTTGACAATTAAAAAAATGGAGTGACAAGTTTGCTGAAAATAAATAAAATGTTTCATTTAGATAAATTTGATATGTCTTTTTCTCTGTATTTAATAACATTTTTTATCTTTCTTGAAACTTCTTTTACTTCAATTAATTTTCTCACTGAAAAGATACTTTAAAAGCCGAAAAAATGGATGTTTTTCTTTTGTTGTTTTTTTTTTTTTGTCCTGAGAATACTAAAACATAGAGAACTGTGTAGTAAAGGGAGGCAAGAAGAACAGAAATGGGAAACTGCTCTGAGGAGTATCCTGCTCAACTTCTGAATGTGCCTTATAGACTGACTTGTGTTTACTTTACTTTGTTCTTTATTGCACTTTATTGCTAGGTTACTTTTTGACTTTAACTCATATCCATAGATTGTGTGTTTTCTGAGGGCTGCTATGTCTCTCCAGGTGCACTGTGAGGTGAAATATGAAAGGGAAAAGAGCAACATATGGAAACAACTGCCAGAGTAAAGTCCAACAGCAAGGCATTGAAACAGAGTCTGCTGTGTGCATGCGACAGGGAAGACAAAGCTGATTTCATTGTTTGGAAAGGCCTTATTCCTGCTCACCTTCAAAGTGTTTGAACCTTGACTGGGGTTGCACAGCAAGACGGGAAGAGCCAACAGCTATTTGAGGCCTATCCTTGGAATTATTCCAGAAAGAAAAAGCATCTGGAAACAGATTTACTTCAAGTTCAGCATGTGTTGATGTGCTTTATTGACCTGCAGAAAGAGTCTGAGTGCTTTAACTGGTGAGAGCTTTTCCTAAGAGGGCTGAAGACTAACTGATGTGCCTGGGCACAGGGATTAATGCAGCATGCACAGCAAAGGGTGGCTGTCACCCCCGGTGCCAAGTGCTCTCATCTGTGTCTTTGTCCTCTTAGCACAGTTTTGGCCTGCCACTATTACCTACCTGGACATAAGGCTTTTGTCATGGACTTTTAAAACTCTACCTTTTCCTCTGCTGAAACCTGACCTGTATTAGCAGAGTCTGGCCAAGGGGCAATCCCTGCAGGACCAGCAGAGGAGAGATGAGCTCCATACCCAAGCAGAAGAATTGCCTAGGATAGCTGAGCTATTCTGAAGCCACCTGGCATTACAACCAGGTATCCAGGGTTGTACCCTGACCATACTTTGGAGGTTATTTACTGACAATTGGTGGGAAGGTTCCCAATTCTAACCCTTACCAGAAAGGCATTTGGGTTATTCCAGTGGCTTAATTTTAGGCACCCACCTTCACCTAAGTTAGAGAGTTAGTCTCTCTGGGCTCTCTATTAAGGGAGAAAGGAATCCCAAAAGGCAATTCAGAGCAGTAGTCTGAATTACTGAGAGCATCAGACTCCTACTCTAACTCGTGTCTCTTTCTATTGACTATACAGGGAGCCGAAGTTAGTTGGAGTAAAACTGTCTCTCTCTGCTACTGCTGGATGTCTTGTCCAGGTACTGCTTTGTTATAAAAGCAGAGAAACATCTCACCATCTATCTGGTTTGTCTGGCATGTATCTGCAGGGGTATTTTTCAAACAGAAACTCATATCCAAGAGAAACTGTCATATAAGGGTTTTTTTCCTTAGTATGAGCTATACAAATACATCATATTCCTGCAATTCAAGTTATTCCTGACTTACACCAGTGTAGTGCAGAATCAGGCTTGCTGTTTCTGACTTGAAAAGTCTCAAAAGCAGTTTGTATAATCATAACCAGTAGAGTTATGATTCTGTCATTAACTAGTACTTTTTCCAAAGCACCAGCTGCCAGGAGCATGTGAGACTCAATAGCAGGTTTCATTTAAGAACAGGCTAAATATGTAGACACGACAACTGCTAGAAAGCTGGAAAACATAATTCAGTGTAACGTAATGCTCAAAATGAAAAGAGCCAAGATAATTCCTAACTTGAAAAAATATTACTTAAAAAAAATAGAACCTATATGATTTTTAAGCCAATTTATAGTTTCTGCATCTAGAGTTCTGGCAACATTACAGCATTTGTGTTGAGAGAGAAGAATATGCAGAAAATGATGTCATAGAAAATTACTTACCAGGATCAGTTTTCTTTGAGGTTTCAAGAGCTTGGGCTTAGGGAAATTATTGGCAATTGGAGCTATAAAAATAAATGTTAAGGGATCATTTCATATTATTATCATTCCCTGTAATTTTTAGTATATATATTAGCAATCTGTAAATTACAGATTAATAGCAAATAAGAAGCAAATACATGTATTTATACCAGAGATAAACTGTATTTCAGGTAACATATTTTACAATGAAGCATAATGCTCATGAATTAGAAAAATTATAAGATTAAAGAATCTGATAAGCTAGACATGCTGTTTGCGTGCAAATGATACAGCAAATATACCCACTGAGAACTGATCACTTCTGATCTAACCCACAGTAAACCTTCAGGTCCTTTCCCTCCTGTCTCCCACTGGCTTAGCATTGGCAGTGGTGCTCTGAAAGTACACCCAAGAGTTTGCAAGACTGGCCCCAGAGTCACAAATCCTCTTTGAAAGCAAGGTCCCCAAAGGGGCTGGTCTTTATCTGCCCAGCTTGCTTGACTTTCCAAGTGCACCTGCAATTTTAAGTGTGCAATTTGCTGCCTTCCCTCAGAATACCCCCAACACGTAATTTCAATTTGCCTAATTTTAATCTTCTCTTTGAGCAGGGTGAATATTGCTACAGAGGTTTCTCTCTCTCCTCTGGTTAGTGGGAGCTGAGATCTCTTGCTTGGACTCAGTGAGTAGCTTCTCATGATGGCTAAAGCTGAAGGGAGATGAGAGCCTGGTCCCTGCAGCAGGCACAGGCCATTTTTTTCCCACTGATGGGAGCAAGCACATTTCACCTCACAGGCAAAGTCAGTGGCAGAGTACAGGAGTCCTGACATCCCATACTTTCCTGTTCCTCCATGGTTGTGCCCAGGACTTGAAATACCTTTGTGTCTCTGTTTTCATACCTTTTGCTGGAATGGCTGGTGGCTGCTCCAGTTTCTCTTTCTCTTTCTTTTTCTTTACCTTCTTAGGCTGTAGAGGAGACAGGCTTGTCACACTGGTAACTGTTTCCCCGGAACTGCAAAGCACAGGCTCATAAGTGGGGGGAAAATGAAGGCAATGGAGGCAAAGATGGTTTGTCCTAGTGAGTTCATGCAAACACACCACCTTCCACTTGTGAGAATCCCTGCCCAATAACCTGGATTGTGATCTGGGGATATAATGAAAAACCTCTTAGGAGGGTTTGAAATGCCCTGGGTCTTACATTTTTTCAGCTATACAGTGTGGCTGAGAAACTCATCGAGTTTGATTCATCCTGGCACAGAAAATGCAAACTGTGAGGTTCAAGCAACATTCATTTCATAGCACCTATTCCTTAAAAAGATGTATGACCCCACTGCTGCACTCAGGATGAACTTTTGCCTTCCTGCCCTTGAGGACCAGAGGCACAGACAGGTTAGGTGACTTGCATAAGCTCTCATGGAGAGTGTACAGCAAAGCAAAATCTTCAGTGCAGATTCTGGGCTAAGACTGGCTGACGGGCCAGCAGGCCAGGAGAGCATGCAGCATGTCTTCAGGCAGCTCACAAACCCACATTTGCAAACAGTAGCTTCTTCAAAGGGGCCAGCATCTCAGGAAACACAAAATGGGGAAACTGTGCCCCAGTCTATAACTCGGGCATTCTCCAATACATCTATGCTGAAAAAGTGCTAGTTGCTATGAGGGAAGAGTACAAGTTATATTTCAACAGATTCCTATCCAAGAGAGCTTCTGTGTTTGGACTATTACAGTCTAAAACCCTCTAGGTCTGGATTTTTTACCCTTATCATCTCCCAAAGCCTGAGGTCGTAAATCCTGCTTTGAATATTTAGGGCTTGGATATGCAGTCGGGTTGCAGCGATTGTGTCACCGCGTGTCAGCTGAGCTCTGGTAACTGACTGTGCAGGGGCTGCCAGCTTGCAGCTAAAGGGAGATAAAATTGTATTGGCTTAATTGGTAATGAAAGAAATTCTAACTTACAGCTGGGGTGGGAAGAGAATGTAAACCAGTTAGTTATGATGACTACAGTGATGGAGGTGACTTGGTAAGCAGTTGTTGCTCAGCTGCATCTGACCCGGGGCTCACTCTGGGAAAGATTAATGCAGTAGGGTTGTGGGGACCTTTCTATTCTGTGCTGGTGAGTTCCACCACACAATGACGTCCAACCAAAGTCTCCATAGTCATAACACTGACAACACTGATTTCACTGAATTTTAAATAATTTGTCCCAAGTTGCTGTTCCTCTCCAGGTTCTTTTGCATAATGAAACATTCTCTCTATATTAATAGAATACAATATTCAAATTGGGCCAAAGACTTAATGAAAATTTAGATGTCTCAACTATTGCCCACACAAGAACACCAAAATAACAGATATTACCATTTTACACAGTTGTAAATCCAAATGAATGTCACTTCCATTGGTAAAATCACTCTGATTACATTTGTGTAGATTACAAAAAGACTCTGGTTTGCTGATTTTCCTGAGTTTTGTCTCATCCATTCAGTGAAAAACATAGGTTTGCTGCCAAACTTTCTAAAGTGTGTTTAAAAAGTAAAATATGTTCACAATTTATAAACAAATCACACCAGTTATGTAAACTAAGGACTGCACTGAACCAATTTCAAAGTCTGTCTGCACTATTATGAACTTACCCCACAACAACTGTTTTCTGTATTAAAATCAAGATATAAAATGGTTTAAAACCAGCAGGAAATTAAACTGTCCTGCCTGGCTCCTTTGCCCAAACAGCAAGCTGCAAAAAAAGAACACCAAAAAGGGGTGAGAATGATTTTTTTTAAATGTTTTGGGGTTTAATAATCCAAGGTAATTCAGGCAGATGCGTAGCTTAAAGATACTATTGTTCTGATACAGCTACTTTAAGCACAATAGATGAAAAGGTGTAGTGTCAATTCATTGCATTAGTTATTATTTGTGTGTTGCCAATAAAAAAGTGAAGCTACAGAGAAATTTATTTGTGACTTGCGTGTTTCTTTTAAATGCCAGGGCCATACAGGGTTAACTAATTCTGGGAGATACAATAACTATACTTGCCATCTTAGAACTGAGCTCCTCAAACCAAACAAGGAGGCTCAGAAAAGACTCCTTGGCTCTGAAACACTGCCTCTTTGTGAGCTTGTCTTGTTCTGTGTCTAAAAGGAAATTTAGTTTTTTATCTTCAGCTCCTCCTCCAGCCTCCTGGTTTCCATTTCAACAGTGTCACGTTGTGCATTTCTTGAAGGATCTAATGAGTATTTAGAGAGCAAGAAAAATACAAGAGTTTGTGAGAATAACCTATGAAAGGTATCTAATAATCATGGAACCAGGACAGCATTTTCCCTGGAGGTCATGGCTGTTCCAAGAGCTGGGAAACTACTAGAATTTTGGCTATACTATCCTTATTAGAGTATAGGATTTGGAACTTTTCTTGTTGTCATCAATATTGGCTATTTTCCTGTGTCAGAAGTCTGCAGGGGGATGACAAAAAACTCACTTGAGTGAACTAGAAGCTGCATAGATATTTTCCAGATAGGGGAGGTGTGTGAAAAGGTGCCAGGGATGGATTGGGTACTTGGTTCTAGTTTGTTCTGGCAAATTTGTTCTCAAGATGTCAGACTGGCACTGTGGAACCAAGGTGTCAAGGTGGACAGCTTTCTGAGGTGAGCACTTTATTCACTTCAACTTATAAATTATTTGTCTCCAGAAGAGCAGTCACTGAAGGACTAGAGAGTTCAGGCCAAAACAAATATAAAGGAAAGAAAAAAAAAATACTGTTTTCAAAGCTACACCTCCTGGTGGTTTCTGGAGTTGAAAACTGACAAAATGATCCAATAGCAAGAAAAATAATAATAAGGAGGATATTTAAAGAAAAGAAAACACCAGAAAATGGAATTAGGTGGTTTGGAAAACCAAAAATAACTTTACTTTTTTATTTAGATAGTTATTTTTAAAATGTGGTAAAGAAATGGGTTTTGGTTAACTCATTTTTTCCCCTTAATTTGTTATTGGTCAAGTAGCAAACCGAAACCTAACATTTGCTTTGTTCTACTCAGGAAATCTGGATTTAATTTTCTTTTCTGCCACTGCCATTTTGTGAGACCTGGCACAAATCGCTTAGCCTGTTGTGCTTCAGATTCCAATTAAAAGTAAAAATACCATTCTGATGTCAAGACATGAAATATTTTAAGATGCTTAGGTATTACTACAGTGGGATTACAGACATTTCTTAGACACCAGACTATTAATGTAATTTTGAAACTGGATTCTGCTCTGTGTTTGAAATATCACTAAGGGAGTTTGAGCTGAGCCTCTCTAATCAAGGCTGAATTTTGCACAGTGAAGTAATTTTAAACTGCAAGAATCTCATGCAAATTAGTTAATCAGTTTGGCCTAGTGGGTATTTAGACACTGTGTTTTGGGTCTAAATATGTTGGAGTAAGTTCCAAGACAAGGAACGTACCGGTGAAGAGCAATGAGTTCAAAGGAATTAATGGTTTGCGTTTTGAGCAAAGGGTAGAAAATAAATGGTACCATGTGTGAAACATAATAAAAAATATGATATTGGTATAACTTTCATAGCTATTTAATTTTAATAAGTCAATGCATTTTATCCATGCATTTGTGTGATCAAGGATTTCATTAGCGTATCTTGTCACACTGAAATACATGAAACTGTATTTTTATCCATACAGAGTTGTGCATTTCTTTCACTTCTGGAGATTCTGTTTTACAGTGAAGAAATCACATTGGCTTGTTTTCTCCCTGCTATTCAGTCTCCTAATTGTAGTGTTTGCAGTAGTATCACTGCTGCATCTTCTATTCCCAGATAGGCAGATTTTGTAGTACGAGTCTTTTTATCTGACTGCCATGCTCCATTTTTTTCAACCAGGTCTTATTTTTCTTCTCTTTTTGTGTTCTCTATCAATTTACTTTGATTTCCTCCCCCTCGCCATTCTTTTTTTGTTTGTTTGTTTTTATAACTCCAACTTTGTCCCAGAAGCTAATAAAGAAGGGGGAAAGAGAAAACATCCAGGGGAAAACGAAAACTGCTGAGCTGTCTCTGTAAATTTTTGGTGTGTTGCAATGGCTGGTCAGGGTCACAGAACAAAGATCTTTCCATGAATAACATGAAAGTTTCAGTTTGTACTGGCCTCTCCTGAACTCTGTGTAGCTTTTTTGTGACTTCACTTCCATCTGAGTGTCAGTTAGATTGAATTCAGTGATAATCTCATGAGAATGCACTAAAAATCACACTCTTGGAGGATCTACTGTGTGTTATACTTGGCATCGAATCCTGTAGTATCTAGAGATACTATGAGAAACAGTACGTGATACCAAGATGTATTGGATTTAAACTACAAGGCTAGAAACACATGGTTTATGTCACTGAAAACTGGGAAACAGCTGTGCTTCTGTGTTGTTATGAGGCACCCCTCTTCCATCTTTTTTGTTTGTAAAATACTTGTCATATTTTTTTACTGCAGTTCCAGCACAATGTATATCTCAGGAAAATCATGCAATAGAAACCAGTTTTATAGCACCACACCATCAAAAACTTTTGGCAGCTGGTGGTATTTAAAGGGACAGTGATTAATGACTGCAGCAGAAGTAGAATTTTTCCTCTCACTTGGAGTCTTCATCTGGGAATAAGACTATGAGCCTTGAAAATCAGCTTTAGCCCCACTCCGTGTTCCTGGGTGTGGGAATCACTGGGTGACATTGAGGTTTGTTCTATTTATGTGGATGGTGTAAGTCATTACCATCCGGTGAGGTGTTGGGAAACCCTAGAAAGCCACACAAGATGAAAGTTGGCTTCTTCAATAAGCAAATCAGAGTGTCAAGGAGAGGCTTGTCACTAAAGCACCTTCAGGACCTACAGCTAGCCCAGTAGATCTCTCTTTTCATACATAGCAGGCACATTCATGAGTCATGGACCTGGGACTCTATCTTTCTGTAAACATTTTGGAAAACACTTGTTCAGCATACTTAGTAAAACAAAACCAGAACTGGTGCCTTTGGTTACAGTAAAGAGATGTACAATCTCCTACCTGTTCTGGGGGCATTTCACGAGGTAATGCTTCACTGTTAAAGAAAAGAAAAACAGAGAGAAGATGTGGCTTCATATCAACACAGTTTATGAGTTACAAATGGGCACTGAAGATAGACCTGTGTTGCTGAGACTGTGAAGTTGCCAGATGGTTACACTGGGAGAGCTACTGATCGTCACCATACATTACATTGTGCATTAAAATGTAATCTGACTCAAAGACAATAGCTAGGCTTGGGAGAGGGGAATGTATCAAACAACAACAAAAATCTGCTGTGGAAGTCCTGGGCAACACACATTCCAGTGGTCAGTCCAGCTAAAAGACAGCTTGCTAAGGAAAAGCACAGCAGACCAGTAATTTTACTTTGAAGACTTTGATTTCCCTTGTGGTGCCTGTATTTATTTCCAGAAGCCTGAAATAAACCATTCACCCACAGGAGCCACTGCTATTCCTAATGCAAGTTAGATTGTGGCCACAAGCATAAAGGGATTGCCTCCTGGGATCAGATCAGAGGTCCAGTCCAGTCCAGCCACTATCCTGTCTCTGACAGCTGTGTGTGTGAGCAGTGTAAATCCTCCTACTTCATATTCCTTTGAGTCAGTAGTCCTGAGCAAGGGCAGCTGCCCCCACTGCAGCCTTTTAGGAGCCAGGGTTATTAAAATGCTCTTTTGTGGCTTTGTGACTTCTATGCTTCTCCCAGAGGACAGACTCTGGCTCTTCTGGTCGACCTACTGCCAACTTATTTCTCAGAAGGATGAGAGGGTGCACCCCTGGGCCATGATGTGAAGTTGAATACAACATAGACAGGCCCCTCCCTTCTTGTTCTCTGTCCTTTCAAGGACCATGAAAACCAGACAGCAGTACACTTACATGACTATCCTCCTCTCTACGGGAAAGTTTTCATATTTGGTCTTACCTAAATGCTCCCATTCTAAGGGAGCTATACAGCTCCTAGGAGGTGCATTTTGGTCCTAAGGAAAGGGGAGCTGAGAACACTAGGAACTGGGGCTAACACAGGAGCCATGCCTAAGCCAAGCAAGGCAATGCTTCCATCTACTTGTCAGGCCTTTTTTAAATGTACAGGAGAACAGTAGGCCTGATCCTTTGGGAGTAAGGGAAAGCTCACGTACAGTGTTGACACGCTTTTGAGCATCACTAGGTATATGTTATTTTTTTTGCCCTGCAGTAAATACTCTGGTCCTTTGAACCAGGAATTAAGAAGAACAATCACTCCTGTAACAAATGGGCAAAGGCTTCTACCAGAACCACAGAGGGACTGCCAGCTGCAACCGTTGCTGCTTCCCACAGCATCCCATAGCTCCCTGTGCTACGGGCCAGCCTCAGATGCAGTGCCAACCTAGTCAAACTGAGAGCTCCCTTGGTGAGGAACTGGGTTCAGTGTCACCCCTCTCCTGTCAGAACCCTGATATGAGCCAGGATCTTCTCAGGTTTCATTCCAGAGGGATCACATAATCATTTAGGTTTAAATGATATTATGTTAGAGGTAAAAGACCTCTAAGATCATTGAGTTCAGCCCTTAACCCTGACTATGTTCCAGATCAGGCCAGGTTGTTCTTGTAGAGGGTTGGGCAGTTTTCCCTCTTCTCCCTGTGCTTGGGTATCTGCCTCCACTCCGTCTGTGTGGGGCTGGGGTGGGGCAGGGCACGTTATCCTCCTTGTTCTGTTTGGGCTGAGGAACTGGGGAGGGGAAGCTGGAATGGTGGGAGAGGGAAGGGAAGCTGTTGGTGTCTCTGTGGCAGGAATGGGGGAACTATAGAGGTTCAGGGAGAAGCTCTGATGGAAATTTGCCCCGTGAGGTGAAGAAAGGAGACAGTTTTGATTGTCCTGACTTGGTCTCAAATGGAAGAGCAAAGTGAGGCTTGTCTTTTAGGGCTACTGAGGAAGTTGATGTGGCAACGCCTCATTACAGGTGGAAGAAGGCTGTGCCTGGAGCCTGCTGAGAGGCTTAGGTTATGCAGAGGGAGGACTGCTTTGCTGACCCTGTCTTTTCTCCTTTTCTCAGAGAAGGATAGACTTCATGATTTCACTGCAGACTCTTTTCACATGAATACTTGCACCTCTCTAGCCCTGCCTAGATTGGAGGTACAGAGTACTGACAGTGGAGAGGAGGTAAGTAATGGTTTTTAAGGAATAATGCCTTATGCTAACAGACAATGAGAGCACTGTTATTGTCTGTTGTGGTCAAACTGTAACCCCTGGAAGGTGCTTCTGGAGGTGGTAGAGCACTTGTGAAGGAAGAGGGGGCTCCCTGTGCCCCATGCCCATGTGCTGAGTGAAAACAGCACCTCTCAGGGAAGTGCTGCTCTGCGGGTCAGAGGCTCAGGGCTGAGCTTGCTGCCATGTCCCAGAAGCTGTGGGGAGAAAAAGCAGTGTGGGCTGGTGGAAACTATGTCCATCACTGGCATTCTTTTAATGCTGCTTCAGAAATTTTAATACCTTGACTAGGTGCTGAGCCAATTATTGTGGCTCTAGAAAATACTCTGATCAGGTGGTCCCAGCTGAACAACTTGCCTGAAAATCTTCTAATTGTGTATGACTGGCTAAGCTTTCTTCTGCAATATTTTCATTGAATCAGTAAATTTAATGCTGTCAGTGTTTACCGAATAATATTCAACACCTAAATAAAAATTTGGTGAAGCCTGCAATTATTCAGATATTAGTGTAATGAAGAAAAGTTTTAGTAGTTCAGAATAAATTACTTTTTATCTGTTGTACACGCTTATTCTACAATCTATATTATTTCTATATTTAACTGGTGTTGGTTCAATGTAAAGAGGCATTTTCTCCAAGCTGCTTGTATGCTTACACCGATGTCAGCCGACAGAAACAGAAGCAAGAATTCTAACCCAAGAATTGGGTCTGCTAAAGAAAAATTAGGATACATCAGTCTAGTGCTTGTGGCTTCAGAGTGACTCACCATGACCAACATACTTAAGTGTGGGTACTCCCCTGGCACAAAACCTTTGTCATCACTTAACAGGGTAGGAAGAATAACATCGATCTTGCTCCTTCCTCTTGGCAAGCAGAGTTGTTGGGTTCAGTTAGAATCAGAGTTACTCTACTAAGCGCATTACCAGGAAGATGTAGCCACAGGCTGAAATGTGTTTGTGGTCAGGCAAAGGCTTCTCTATATATCTATTTTTGGTTTACATGTCTTCTCATTTGTTTATCTGAGTCACTCATTCCTTTGTGGTATGTGTGTAGTGCTGCAGAGGCACCAAAGTCATGATTCTCTCCTGTCATTAACAAGACAAATCACTAACCAAGCTCCTTCTGAAACCTGTTCAGAGGTGGTCCTTATGCTCTCCTCTAACATGGTGGCTGCTAAGCATGCTGGTGTCTCATCCTTGAAGCTTGTGTGAGGTCTCCAAACAAACCACTTTTGAACCAAAATGAAGGTAAAGCCTGCACAGACTACTCCACAGATCAGAAACAGCACTTTTGTTTACAACAGGACTGCTTGGATGTAGATGCAGCCTCTTTGAGAAACCCTCTCTGAGGAAGAGAAGAATGAGACAATAATCCTTGACCTTGAAAGATTATTATGAAAAGGCAGACTTGAATATTGAAATGATACCTTAGTTTCAAAAAAGGCTACAAATGAGGGTGTACTGATAAAAACCCTCATATTCCCAAGAATATTGACAGCTACTCAGGAAGAGAGAATAAAACAGAATAGAGCAAGACTGCTTTGAAGCCCCTCTACACATGTGCAGAAATGTGACTCATGGAAAATGTTAGATTCTGGTCAGAATGCAACTTAATGATACAGCACTTGGTCTGCTTTGAAGGAAGTTCCAACAACCTTCAATTTACATTTGTGCAAAGGTGAAAGATTTTTGAAAAAAATTAAAGTGAAATAGCTATTCAAAGGGAGGAAAATTACTTTGTTCTAGTTTGGTTGGCAGAATTTTTTCCTACCATTGTGTTTTTTTAAATTACAATCAAGCCAAGGAAATATTTATTTTTCCTGCTTTTTCTGCATTCTCTTCTCCCCCACCCCCTGCCCCACTTTTTGATAAGGGCTTTGCAGTCATCAAGAATGACATCTCACTCACCTGTGGATCTCCTCTTGTTCAGAAGTGACTGACAGAGAATGACAAGTGTAAAAAGGAGGACGCTGATGATTCCTATGGAACACACAAACACTGCATACACATATAGGTCTGAAAACCAAGCACAGATGACAGTCAGTGTTACAGCTGTATTCTTCATGATGACAGGATAGAAAAAATTTACATTTACAAGATCTAAATAGGCTCTGGCCCTAAAGATGTGGGATTAGAGTTCAGAAATAGTTTAACTGACTTGAAACTTTCCTACAATATCCTGCTTAGTTTAAAATTTGTTTGAAATCTCCATAAATGCAAATAGGTGTAACTACACCTATAAGATCTGACTTTCAGGAGCAAGCAATGAACTGGTTTGGGTTGTTCCTTTTCTTTTTTTTTTTTTTTTTTTTGAATGGCAACACAAAAACCAAAAGGACTTCAGTTGGATTATTTCCCAGTTCAAACAGCTGTACCTTTTTTTTTTTAAACAAAAAAAGAAAAAAACCAAACACCCAAACAATAAAACATGAAAAGTGGCAGTGGGGGAATGCTGAGTGGCTGGGGAAGAAGCAAGAAGGTCTGCAGTTGCTTTTTTCTGCTGGCAACACTGGCTTGAATTTTTGTATTTTTTTTTTCCCTTTTTAAAACTACAGCCTCAGTCTCCCTTTATGGCTTTCATTCAGGTGCTGTATCACATTCCCAGTGGAGCTGACAGGAGTTGTACTATGGCAGATCAAGATGAAGTATTTTGTTCAGAAGGAGAAGAAATCTTTAATTACTTATTTCTGCTTTTACTAGAACTCTTTTTAGAGTACTTTAAGGATGCTCTACCCATTAATGTCTTGAAACGTCCTTAGGGGGGAATACTGGCTTCTTTCCTGCTTCACAGAGAGGAAACTAAGCCTCAGAGGTCAAGTGTTCTTGCAGAAAATAGCATTGCTGGAACTGTACCCCTGACCTGGAGTTCTGTGTTTCATTCCCCTTATGCAGTGCAACACTATAGTTTATAAATTATGGTTTAAAAAGCAAGGCTCTCCACAGAATCAGGGCCATCCTGCAAGTGAGCACTCCTGCCTGGCAGGAAGCACAGCAGTTGTAAGAGCTGTGCTGGCACTTCACTAGTGCTCTGGATTGTGGGGGGGAGGAGGAGGAAATCCTAACTGCATGCAAATTCTGGATTACAGACTCTTGGAACAGTTGTCCACTAGTCTAAACAGAAAATATATTGCTTGCCTGGAAACTCAAGGGAACTTCAAGCTGCTCTTGCAGTGTAAAGTATGCTTACTCAGCAGTTTCTAAGGCTAGTAGAAGTGTAGAGTACATGGTACCTCTGCAGACATGCTGAACACCTTCCTGAATAAGGGTCTGCATTTGCATTGTGTGATTAGCCAGGCATAGGCTGCTGACCCTGAGATGAGCTCAGCTGGTTAGAGCGTGGTGCTGATAACACCAAGGTTAGGTTGTAGGTTTGATCCCTGTATAGGCCATTCATTTAAGTTGGACTCAATGATCCTTGTGGCTTCCTTCCAGCTTGGAATATTCTGTGAAATTCCCATTGACCATAACAGATACATGAGAAACTGAAGCTGGACTCTTCCATTCTCTTTTGTCCAGCACACCTGTACTCTGGGGGATGGATTCTCAGGCAAGGCTCGGGTTTGCACAGAAACTAGCAAAATTGGTCCTGATTTGGAGCACTTCAGTTGTCCTGTAGCATTGGACAAAACTAGCACTGGTATAGAAGCAGTAGCAGTTAGATGCATCTTTACCTTCAAAAAATTTCCAAGCTTCATGATTTGTCTTGAAAATGGGATGATCAGAAGATTTTGATGAAATCACTGAAAATAAAAAGCAACAAGAGTTGAAAAATTGTGTGGCATAAAAAGTTTGGACTTCTTGAAGTAAATGTATTCAGCTTTAGACTTCAGCACCAAGATCTCAAGATTGCTTTATCTCACAGGATAATTACCTTTCAACGAAACAATTTACACAACAGCATTATAGACGTGTTCCAGCAAATCTTATATGGCTTGACACACTCCACAAGAGCCATATGGCTTGAGACTGCCTCCCTGTTGTCCTCTTATTCTGGGAAAGATGCAGTGTGTGACTCTTCAATCAAAAGTTAATTGCAGTGAAGAATAGAAGAGAATTGAAATATGCATTAGAAGAGCCTAGGCCTTGGAATAGAGTGGTAATGTGCTTGTAAGGTCTGTAATGGCTTTGCAGGGTTGATCTGAGTACTCCAGGGGAAAAGCTGCCATTAATGCCGTATGTAGCTGGTTTTATTCTGCCTCTATGTTTCTGCTACTCAGAACTCATACCTCTAGGGTTGCAGTTCGTGTTTCTGGACCGAACCACACTAATTCTGAGAGAGGAGATGAACAACTTAAGAGAATAAGAATTTATTTCCCCTTACAATTACAAAAAAGAAGTTTTAACACTGTAGTGTATTTCTAAGTCTTAGAAGTTAAGTTAAAAAAATAATGGGAAGAACAGCAACTTTACTGAAGGACATAGATCTGAAGACTTCCTGAGAACTGACTGGGAGTCAGCCACATCAGGCACAGCTCTTTCGGAAAAACATGGAAGTTGTTCTAGGAATGTTTGGCACTGAAGTAAACTCTACCAACATGCTGATGACACAAAGCTGAGAGAAGTGGCTGATACCCCCGAGTGCTGCACAGGACCTTGACAGGTCTCCAACCGTCTTAAATTCAAGAAAGGCAAATTCAGGGTCCTGCACCCAGGGAAGAAAAACACCGTGTGGCAATGCAGTGCTGTGTTCAGTTCTGGGCTCCTCAGTGCATAAGACATGGAGCTCATGGAGCGGGTTTGTTGCCCCAGCAGAGGGCAACAAAGATGGTTGAAGGACTGGAGCATCTCTCTCACAAGGAAAGGCTGAGGGACCTGGGCCTGTTCAGCCTCAAGAAGAGATCTGAGAGGGGACCTTGTCAATGTCTGTAAGTATCTGAAGGGAGGGTGCCAAAAGGATAGAGCCAGGCTCTAATCAGTGGCACCAGGCAACAGGCAGAAACTGATGCACAGGATGTTCCACCTGAATATGAGGAAGAACTTCACTGTGCAGGTGACTGAGCACTGGAACAGATTGCAGAGAGAGGTTGTGGAGTCTCCCTCACAGGAGATATTAAAGAACTGGCTGGACAAAATCCTGTGCGATGTGTTCTAGGATGACGCTGCTTGAGCAGTGAAGTCGGACCACGTGGCCCATTGTGATACCTTCCAACTAAACCCTATGATTCTGTGATTCTGCGATAGCATTTCCCCAGCTTCAGGACTGACTCTGTAGGCTCTGATCTTGCCCAACTTGCCTTCCCTCCAAAGCTCTTGTGGATGTCCCTTAGCAGGTCGAACTGCTCTGCAATTCCTACAACAGCACCCAAATAACACAGTGAGAGACCCAAAGTAAGAGCACTGCTCAAAAGTTCTTTTTCTTTTTACTTTCCTCAAAAGTCAGCGTCCATGCTGTGCCTTTTAAAGATACATGGCTATGATACCTGCCTATCTGAAAAAATGCACCCATGCATGCATGGGCTTTTTGAAACTGTCCAAATGCTTCAGAAATTGCATACCTGAGCTGTAAAGTAGAACACATCTACTTACACTCAGTGTTGTTGGCTCAGATGTAGGAACAGAGTAGGCTGAACATCTTTAATATAAAATGCTCTGTCATAGCTGTATCAATGGCCATTCACCATTGAGTGCAGAACAGCTCAAGTTCTCAGCCAGCATAATTCCTCTGCCTATATGTGGCAGTTTTTTCCTGAGAATAAAGATTGCATGCCCACAAGTTGTACCAGCTCACCTTTATAGCCTAGAAAAAGGGCTGACTGAATGACAATGTTCTAGCTCAATTAAGAAGGAAAATAGCTGTCAAGTTTGCACAGAATTGTCCTCTTTCTTTCAGGAAGATGGATGACTATCAATATCAAAACAGTTGTACAGCCTAGCACTAGAATACAAATGTTCTGAATGCTGGATCAGTGTTCAAAACCCTCTCTGCTCTCCTCAGCCAGATTGTTTATGCATGCTGATATTTTTTATGACATCAGATTAGATGATGTCACTTATGTTAATCCATGGTTTTTCTTCTGCTAGCAATCGCTGTAATACAATAGGAGTCTGGTGATGTCCTCCAGCTTGCCAGTGAGGTCTGAACTTCTCAAAAGAGTTTCATGTGGCGAGTCATTAAAGATCAAGTATCTTACTGGAAAAGGAATTCATTAAGGAGCGCCCTGCAGGGATGTGAGGTGTAGGGCTAACTCAGTGGATATAAAACTTTTAGGACTAATGAAATCTGCTCAGTTGTGATGGGAAGCTCATCCTGAATATTTTAACAAATCTATTAATTTGTTTCATGGAAGCATCACATGTGTAGATTTTTGGCAAGTATTTCAGAATAACTTCCCTGGGAAAAAAGGGGGTTTGTTCATTTTGAGGAAAAAAATTTTGCATTCCTACATTTTACCACATTTTTACTGTTAGAAAATGTCACATGAAACTAATATTTAACAGAACTCAGACTTTCTTCTGTGGCAAATTCTGACACATAAACTTCCCAACAAGACAGATTGTTGTGATCATCTCTACTTGTTTCTGTTGTCCATGACAATAAGATTATAGTTGGACTGTCTAATTTTCTATGTTTTTCTCCCCAACAGGAGTAGTCTCTTCTCTTGGATTGTAAACCATTTGGAATATGTATTGCTCTTCCTACGAGATGTGCAGTACCTTGAGGAATTACCTGATTATAAATGATGGTTTGGAGGTGCTGTATATTGTTCTGAGAAGGCTACTGACTATTTTGAATTTTCCGATAGGAAGGGAGTGAGAGAACATTTTTCTGATGCCTCCTTTTTCATTATTATTTTTCGTCTCAGATAAACTGTTTTCTGGTGCATTCTGTACTATAATGAAGACCACTAACTTGTTGTTAGGCTAACATTGACCACACAAGCCCAGGAAAGGAAACGACGCCTTTGATAAGAGGATGAGGGGAGGGGGAAAGGTTTGCCTCAGCTTAGATAGATGTTGCTGAGGCTGAAGAGATTGAAGTAGGAAACACTTCTTGGCAACATCAGCACATGGATTTCTCCTGGGTTTACTAACAAGATTTAACAATAGCCTTTTTATAAATCCTATTCGATGTCTTGTATTCCCCACATCTAAAGGGGCAAACTGCAACAGTTCAAATTTCAGCTGGACCTACTGAAAACACAGCAAAGTCACTGTAGTTGACTGCATCTCCATCAGTGAGGCTTCTTTTCTGAAGAAATGTATTCTTCCCCTAAAGTAGAAGTCAGATACGTAGCTAAACTTTTAACTGCTATCATTAGACATTAAGGAACTATAGCCTGTAACTCAGTTATTTTTCCACAACTCCAGTATGTGTATTTGTATAAATTTATGTGTTTCAACAAAATACTTTTGCAACTTCTTAATGGCCTACACAAATTTATGCCTGCAAACTTGCTAGCAAATAACAAAACCTCAATATAAATTAATAGCAGTAGATACAACAGATCCAGCTATCAGCTTGCTTCCAGAGCAAGTTATATTTTGAAGAAGTAGAATGACTCTTTTCTTTTCTCTCTGGAAATTTCTGTCTTGCACAGTGACCTCCTCTTCCTGTGTGAACTAAAAAGAAAAGGGATTATGCTATTTCTACATCCACTTGATGTGCAAAGTCTCGAGAAATTTGCCTGGTGCTTTAGCATAAAGATACTATTTTGAATTTGGGGGTAACTGCAGACATATTAACTGGAACACAATGTTAGGCAGCACAGTAACTGTGATGTGTTGGAACACTGTTACCTTATTTGATAAAGCACAAGCAGTACAATTTAAGTATCCAAATGCTTCAGGCAATTTGTATTGCTCCTTTTGTTGCATCCTGGATCTAACTGTAATATAAGTAAATCCCTTTGCAATAAAAAGTATAACTGATCATAATATAAAATACAAAATGTGTTTGGAATAAAATTTCCTTGAAAAGCCTTTTCCCTGTTGGGAAAATTGGAAACTTTATCACTACTCGGAAAAGAGTTGCCTTCCCTCCCAAGTGTAGCAAGTTCTGTACACTGAGAGTGCATTAGCACAGTGCTAGTAAAGACAGTCCTTTGTTTCCAGTAAAGTGGCTTTAAGCAGTGAAACAGTTGCTATGGCATTTAAAGATATGTCATTTTTCCAATAGCATTTGGTATCTTTAATTTGTATTTAGAATTAGAATTAGAATAAATGCCTCACAGGGCATACTGTCAGTGTAGTTTACAGGTTGGCCAGCCTTCTCCCTTGACTCAGGCTTCCTGCTCTGCTTTGGGTCACATTTGAAGCAGAGAGAAGTACTACAGCTGAGAAGACAATGTGAAAATGATGAAGTCATGAGTCTCAAATCCCTACCCTGATTATGTATTCATAACTCATACTAGAAATTGGAGGCAAAATAATATTTAAGGACTGGACTGAAAAGTTACAAATTCCCTTCTTTGCAATGACTAAATCGATCCAAACCCCACACTTTAGCTATGAAGGGCAATGAGATGTTTCTACATTAGCAATGGCCTGAGAAGCTATGAAAGATGCAGAGTAGCTTTTTGTGATAAGAGGTATGACAGGGGGTGTAACAACATTTTATATTGTTTTTTCTTCTGCTGCCACTTAATTGGAACATGCCATTCCCTTTCCAAGCACTCCTGACAAATCCATATGTTTCACTATAGGCACTTAAGAACTTATTCAGCGAATGAGAAAACACTCTTAACTGCTTTCTGGCATTATCTCTAGAGCTGATCCTTTGGGAAATCAACTTTTCTGTTTATAAAGCCACAAGTGAGGGGTAGTTTGCCAGCTAACACTAATGGCCTGGAGTCTGTTCTCTAAATCCAGTTTCACCCATCTCTAAAAGTGTGGGTGTGGTGACATAAGATTTGAGCTGACCCATCCCAAAGAGATGGATCATTTTCAACTTGGTTCACATCCATCACTCATTGCTGGTCATTTTATCCAAAGTTCAATATCAGTAGGCTGGTCAACGCTTTTCTAGCTCTGCTTTCTGGCTACAAGTGGTACAAACAATAGTACAGAAGTGATACTAGAAGTGCTACTTACCAACTGCTGCTAGACTAGAACTAAGAGCAAGGGAAACAGCAAGAGAGGGAGGCAAAACATATATCTAAAATATAATGCTTCTATTTCTGATAGACCCACTGCATATTCTTCAGAAAACAAGTTAATTTCTCTCCTAATTCTGTCTCTTTGTATTTAAATAACAATGGCCAGGACAGCTGACCCAAACTGATCAAAGGGATATTCCCTACCATGTGATGTCTGCTCAGCAATAAAAGCTAAGAAGGGGTGGGGAGGAGGGCAGTCATTATTGTGGCATTTGTCTTCTGGAGCAACCACTATGTATGCTGAAGCCCTGCTTCCCGGGAAGTTGCTGGACATCACCTGCTGATGGGAAATTCTTTTGTTTTCCTGTGCTTCTGTGCATGGCCTTTGCTTTTGCTTTATTAAACTGCTTTTCTCTCGACCTGTGAACGGTTTTTTTCCATCTTATTTTCTCCCCTTCCTGTCCTGCTGAGGAGGGGAGTGATAGAGCGGCTTGGTGGGCACCTGGTGTCCAGCCAAGGTCAACCCACCAGAGACCTGTAGCTGAATGGAAAGGAGCTTTAATTACTGCTATTCTGATAAAAGGCAATGGAAATAGACTATCTTCTACCAACCTTCTCACTTCTTTACATTTTATTATGGGCTGAATAATGTTTAAATTGTAATGAGTAAGTAAAGAGGTTGAGTATTAGGTTTTCTTCTCATACCCACAGATTACACTTAAAAATAACATAAGTTCAAATGTCTTATGGATGAACTTGCAAGAAAAAAAAGGGATCACAGGACAAGAAAAAATGATAGACTTGAAATCCATAGTCTCTCACCTCTTATTTCAGTAGCTGCTGTGCCATTTGACCATGCTGTCCACTTATTCCTGTGTTTGCCGATTTCCTGGACTTTACATATATAACGTCCTTGATCTGTTTGCTGGAGACTTAAAATAAGAAATTTGTACATAGTTCCATGTTTCTCCTTAAGAAGATGAAGTCTTTGCTTGTGGAAATGATGAGTATAATTTCCATAATACTGGACAGATCCAAACTTGGTCATTTTGATCATCAGATGCTCCTGGGTAGGTGATGCAGCGAAGACCCACCGCACAGCCAACAAATTGTCTGTCTTTCTCTTTTGAGAAATGTGGCAGTAAAGAGTAGCATTATCTCCCTCGAAGTATCGCACTGTTGGTCCAGGAGAGACTGTCACATTTAAAGCCTCACAAACATCTGTAAAGAAAAGAAAAGATGATGAGAATCCTCCATACTGGCACAACAGCACCATAATCTGCCCCAGTGTGCAAGCCCACAGCAGACAAACTGATCAAATCTGTTTAGTGTGCAGCAATTTAATGAGTTTGTATAACTTGAAATCATCTGCTCCTCTGTGAATATTAAAGGTGGTATGAGGCCCTCCTTCAGAGAGTCTGCTCTAGTATTCTTGCTGTTGCTAGTCAGTAATGCAGGGCTCATGTGGAGACCTTGCTGCCGTCATAGGATCAACTCCATGCAATCTTTCATCAGCCTGAACAAATGTTGATCTAAAACTCGCTTGGAGAAAGAGCCAAGAATGGCTTTTGGAAAGCTGTTCCATGACCAGCTCTTCTGACAACTTGCATCCTTCTTAGGGCTTCCAGGCTAAATCACAGAATCACAAAATATGCTGAGTTGGAAGGGACCCACAAGAATGGCTTCAATAGCCAGTTTGTGCCCATTTGTTCCTGTGCCAACTTTAAGTTGAAACAGTGTTTTCTTCTCTCAGCTTGCTTCCTGACTCTATATAGAAAGCAATTATCTGGTGTCTCAGCCTTCCTTCACTTTGTTGAGCTGAAGAAGCCAAGCTCTGTTAGTCTCTTCTAGTAAGCAGTGTCTTCATTTCCCTATTCACCTTAGCAGCCCTTCTCTGCATTGGTTACAGTTTAAATTTTGGGGTTGATTGTAATAATTTTAAATTTTTTAATGTAATTGACTGCAATTATAGTCAGTGTCTGGGAAGAAGTTTTCCAATGTCCTGTGGAATACTCACAGTATTTCTCAGATTTGACTGGGATATACCTTGCCTGCTACATCCTAGAATTATGTTGTACTTTTTCATGACACTTCTGCATGTGATTATATATCAGTTCATAAATAAATAGCATACTTGCATGTTTTCTCTTCTTTGTCATTTGCGGTTCAGTCTCTAATGTATCAAAGAAATTCTTACTAATCCTCAAGTACGTGACTTTGCTTTACTAACTTCTGCTCCATTCCTGTGTACTCCGTCCTCAGTTTTTCCTACGTGCTATCTTTGTCTTTTGCTGATTTGACAAGGTCACAGTTTCAACGTGCATGCTTCCATCTACTTCTTTTAGACATCATTTGTGCAAAACTTACATCATACTGTTCCACAGATGGTCACTGAAAGACCACTGAACCCCCTATATGCTACAGTTCCCCACGTCCTCTGTTTTAAGTAATATTCTCCTTGTCATAATTAAATGGTCATTTGAAACCTGGGCTAAATCTGTCAGATTAGTCCTTCTGACTACAGTTCAAGTTAATCTGACATTATTTGCATGATAAAATATGACATGAGATCATATTTGGACAAATGATTATTTCATTGTTCCATTAATTTCTGATTCTTGTCTTTAATGTTCTCCATCATGAACCTCACTTAGACCAATTGTTTGCTCTTGTTTTACTTCTAGCAACAGGTGAAGGTTGAAAGAAGTGTCCATAGCTGTTCATTAGAGGAAGATTTTCCTTTCCTGACCTAACCGATTTATACTGGACTGCTTTTCTGAGCCATGGGAATCAACACTCATTTTATTTCCTTCCTAATGTACAGCAAGAATGTCCTTATTAGTCATATCAGAGACTGATCTATTTTTGACCAATGGTGTATTGTGGCAATGTGTTCCCTACATGATTTGTAATGTGTAATCTACCAGTCTGAGCGCATCCACTAGAGAGAGAACCACATTTCAGCAGTGAGCAAGCACTCCCTGCAATGCACTCTGCAAAGCATGAAATGTCCTCCAAACTGTGAACATTAAGCTTCCTGTTATGTGAATACTGTACTGTACTCAAATACTGATGAGAATTTCAACTCTGAGAGAATGATATTTTCATTTTTGGACACTTTTCTAGCACATCAGCAAGCAACATTTTAACAAAGGGGATGTGCGTTTTGGCAGAAACTCTTGTCTGACATCAGCTCCTGAAACACAAACACATATTTATCTTCAAAATAAGCAAGTAAAGTATTTCCATTCTATTTCTGAAGGAGTGCTGGAGGCAGAGATACTGGTTTTATGGCCCCAGTGAAGCTGTGAAATGAAGCAGTGAATTGTATCACCTTACTTAAAGTAAATCCACTAAATTAAAGAAGTTATATTGCAACCGTTTGAGAACTCTCTGAAAATGAATAGTATAATAATTATTTTTGTGTCATTTCAATAGAAAGCTCTACTGAAGAGTGTGCATTTTCTAAGCAGACATTATTTTTTTATTTATGAAGGAGAAAACAAGTTGTATAAAGAATGGTTTAGGTTTTTTTTTAAAAATCTCTTTAGGAAACTACAGCTAAGCATGGCTGAGATTATTGACAAAATTATCTCTCCTTGATGTTTCTGTCTGCAGTTCATGCAAATGTCAAAGAAAGAGGTAATTTTGGATTGTAGAAAGCACACAAGTAGAACACAATGCTGAAATTTAAAATTAAGGTTGAATCCCACCAAAAACTTTCTAGGCATGAAACTTCCATTACTTCTCGCTGGAGTTACCTGACCTTAGTTCTTCACTGGTAGATGTGAAGCCCATAAATGGCTGCCTTTGCCATAAAAATAAGATTAAATTTTGAAGGTTGTACTGCTTAGTAAATAAGGAGTAAGTTTAGAATTTCAACACTTTTTGGAGTCCTTAGGCAATAAATGTTTAATAAATCATTTATAAAATTATGGTTTGGGGAAATGAAAAACACAGACTTTTTTCCACTGAAATTATGAACATGTCATGAAAACTGTAAAGAAAAACAATTATGTCATTTTCCTGACATGTGAACTTCTGGTTTGAAAAAGCTGGCTAGGAGTAATTGTGAAGTAGAGTCCCAAAATAAAAGGCAAAAGAATCACTGTTTAATTTGAAACTAGGTGGAACATAGTGCCAAAAAGTACCCAAGAGAAAATACAGAGGAAGTCAGATATAGTGATGATGGAAGCCTCTGCAAGAAGATAAAGCAGCATTGTATGTGGAGTCTCTGACCCCCTTCTAGCTGTTTACACTCATACAAACATCGGTATTTTATATCTAAGGCTTCTACTTTTCCTCTGGGGACATGCCTTTTTATAAGCACATATCAAATTTTGCATCCTTCATGTTGTCTGATCAGTGGGACCCCGTCTCCTTATCTTCCTTCTGTGGCTGCTATTGGTGCAGTTGCACAAGTGCAGCAATGGGGAGAGTTTTGGAAATCCCCTGATGCTTTTACCATGATATCAGCTCATGTTGAACAGGGTCAGGTGATGCTTTATATAAAACAGAAAAACAGTATCCATTTGACTTAATCCTCCCACTGCCACTGAAGCAGGAACAGTGGTGGATTTAGGAGGAAAGAGTTCATATACCTCTTATGTGGAAAGGAAAACCCTCTTCAGGACTCCCAGACACTAGTGGATATATTTCTCCTGTCTTTAGCAGGCACTAGATCAGTTTCAACATGAGGATTACCCTTGTAATGGGCTCCTTGCCAAAAACAGGAGACTTCTCCACAACTTGAGAGCAGGCTTGTGTGCCAACAGAGCACTGAATTTCTAGATTTCGGATTGCTGTTTCAAATGAGGAATTGCTGTTTTCCTTCTCCTGCCTTCCCAATATAGCATGATGTAGCTGCTCAGGTGGAGCTCACCACAAGAGTTTTAGTTTTGTTTCTGCTTGGAAAGGGAAACTATTTATAGAAAGGGGGAGGAGAGTGAGTCAAAGATTTGAGGATTCCTTTGCAGTGTGCTTAATCATCAAACATGTCTCTGCTTTTCTCAAGCAACTCACTTAGCTGCCCCCATCCCAACCTTTTAGCTGTTTGCTTCTTTGATACCCTCCACCTGCATGTCTCACTAGCCTGTGGGGAGTCAGGAAAGGTGACTGCTGACTAAGCTCTGTTTTAAAAAATCCTACTTCTGCTTAGACCGGTTCAATTCCAAGAATCAGCTAGGTCTGGACTTTGCTGTCTGCCATATCACATAGCAAAACATTTTCACAGCACTGTCAGGAGTACCAAACTATACTTCTAGCAGCCAGAAACTTGTTTATTCCAGGGCTATCCCCTCTGTCTGTGCTAGAACAGTGGCAAAGGCCTTACAGTCACTGCTCGGTCCTTACATGTGGTGAGGAGTTTCAGCACGGCTGTGTTTCTGTGGGACAACCCCAGTTACTTCAAGTAGAGATACGGGTGGAGTTGCTCCTGTGCACAGCTGTTCACAGTCCGGGTTTAGTGTTGTATATAGGCCACTCTTCCTTCCTCCATGGAGACCAACAGGCAGAATCTACAACCAACCCTTCAGGACTGGGAGGACTGATAGGTAGCTGGGGGACTAGAGAAGCATGCCACTGGGATGGTTACCTTCTGATCTCAAACTTGCATGACCACAAGCATATGGGATGGGTTTTATCTGTGTTGTAGTTTGTTCTAGGAAACTATGCTACTGTCAAAGCCTGCTTTATTTTGATTTCTCTACAATTAAAAAGAGCAGATGAGCCAGGAAGAAGTAAAGCTCTTTGTTTAAATAAAAATAATTAGGAGCTGGCTAGCAACAGCATCAAAAAGCAACCAGCTGTTTTCAGTTAACAGATCTGTCTTCAAGTTTCACAAGTCAGAGACTCCCCCTCTCAGAAAGCTTCTGCATTGACTAAAGATGGACTTGAACCAAACATCTGCCTCTACCATCTCCTGCCCTTTTGTGGTGAAGATTTACATTCAACTCTTTCATTAACCTTGAAGGACTAGGGCTTCCCCACCCCTCTAACCTCACTGCATCTAGAAGTTCAGATACAGACTGTGTCTGTTTTGCAGCTTCAGGACACACAAGCTGTCCAACGCACGTTTGGTTTTGGAGGCATAAAGGTCTTAAATGGAGGAGGCTTTTTACAAGTGGCCTACGGGTTGCATTTCCACCTGATGCCTATGGGATCAAGGCACCTGTGGAAAAAAACAACCTCAAACCTCCCTTTGTCTCGGCTTTGCCTGACACAGAAGACCGATGGCCGAGAACCCATCTCCATGAACGTCTGCATGGAAAAGGTTTTCTTTTCTAAAAAGGATCGGGTCGCTGTGCAGAAGCGCTGCTGCCGGGAGCCCGGGAAAGCAGCGACGGAGCGGGGTCGGGACCGGCGGAGGGCCACCCCTCCCGGCCGTGCTGCCGGGCTCCCCCGGTCCCGCTAAGCCCTTGTCCCGCCGCCCGAGCCCCAGCGCTGCCCCAGCGCCTCCCCGGTGCGGGCGGCGGGGGGATCTGGACCCGGACCCCGACCCGGAGCCGGACCGCGCTCCGCGGCGCGCAGGGGCGGCGGCGGCCCGAGGGGAGCCCCGGGGGCTCTCCGGGGGCCCAGGGGAGGCTGCCCCGTCCCGGGCCGGGGTTGCCGGGGCTGAGCGCCCGCCGATGAGCACCCGCGGTGCCGCTTACCTGGGGCCGGGGCCGTGGCCAGCAGGGCGGCCAGCGCCGTGGCCAGGAGGCGCATGGCCCGCGGGGCGCTGGGTCCGGTCCCGTCCCGTCCTGTCCCGTCCCGTCCCGTCCTGTCCCGTCCCGTCCCTCTCTGACAAGCTGCCTCCCTCTTCTCCTCCCGGGCCTCTCGCCTCTCCCCCGCCCGGTCCTCCCTTCTCCCCTTGCTTTTCATCTCCTCCCCTTTCTCCTCCTTTTTTTTTTTTTTTCCGCTTTCTTCCTTCTCTCTGTACTCCTTTATGCTTCCCACTGTCCTGCCCCCCATTCAACTCCCCCTCTTTTTCTCGCCTCCTTTCCCTGTCGTTTCTCTCCACCCCATGCCTGTGGGGTGGCACTAGGGCTAGACAGGGATGCTCCATCTCTAGCCTCCACGATCCCCCCCATGCAAAAGCACATTTTGCCCAAAAGACACGGATCTGCGTCGATGGGAAGCAGCAACTCCCTCCCTCCCGGAGCACAGAAAGCTTCTCTACGAGCAGGTGAGGCAGCCCAGTAGCTGGAGGCTGTGGGATACAGTGCTGGGACGGGAAGGCTGTTTTGGGCATCCTCTCAGCTTTCCTCGAGGTGTTGAAAATTTTGCAAGCCCTCATGTCGGTTCCACTCATCCCAGTCCTTAACTGGAATAGGACCACCATTCCCTCACTGTTTTAATTAATGCTGTCTCCCTGTCCGTAAGCTCTGTTGGTGGGAGCATGACCAGCAGGCATGAAGAAGAGTGCTGTAGAGCATTTAAGACACCTATGCCTGGACGTTGTGCTCAGGGCTCTGGTGTTTGCCCTGTGCTGTGACATCACATCTACTGACCACTGGTCTTTACTCTCTCTCTAAAGAAGTCTAAACAATTTGATATAGCACCTTAAGGTGCATCACCTCAAGGTTATTGTCCTTGTCTTGCCAAATGGTCCCACACTGCTAGGCCAGAAAGGACAAGGGAAGTTGTCACCTTGCAGCATTTCCCCTGTGATGCTTTTGAAGCGTTTATCACTTGACAGCCTACATGCCCAGAGACATGGATTTAATACTTTTACCAGCATGTATGATGGGTTAAGACTGATTATATATTAGGGTTGCATCAAGTGTGGATGATACAAACACTTTGGCATTCCTGCTTCCCTGGATAGGGCAATTAGTACGGATTTAGCTACTCCACCCCTCTTCTAGTAATCACTTAGGCAGGATAATACATGTCTGCTTTTAAGCATCACAGATAATTTAGCATGTGCTAAATCTGATCCTCATGAGACTGAACACTGCCTTTAAAATGTTACAATTTGTTTCCTCCAGGGACAGACTTTTGTGTCCACGCAGCAAAGACTCCTCACAAGAGAATGACAGGTCTGGATTATGCACAGAGCAACCAGTAGCTTTGAGGAAGCAGAAGGAGTTGTTAAAAGTTATACTGCCTGAGGAGCTAATTAAAAGTTATCGGTTTGAATCTACTCCTTTAATACAGCAAAGGGAAATCCTATCAAAGAAATCCTATTCGAAAACAGACATATTCACCAAAAAAAGTCTACCAGCAATTATTTAGTTTGATAGTCCTGATGGAAACTCCCTTTCAGGAAGTCTTGGACTGCTGATTGAGAGGAAACAGGGGATGACATTTTGCATACTCTTTTCCAAAGTATCTGCTACTTGCCATTGTTTGAGAAAAGATATTAGGCTGGATGGATGTTTTATTCCTTCTCATGTAATTCTGCTAGGCTCAGTCATGCCTCGCTCCATGTCTCTCATAAATGCCTTCAGTCTGCTAACCTCTTAATGGGGTGTACAAAATTCTGGTGTAAAGGTATCAGTAAGGGCTGCCTAAGCTCTCATGTGAGTGCCTAGACCCTACAGAGCTGAAAGATGCACTATGAGAATCAGTGTCAATGTTTGTTGTTTGTCAGTTACTGTTTGCACTAACAGTTCCTTTAATTGCATCAAGAACCCTAATGAGCTTCGGGACAGAGCTAGATCAATTAAATGGTGAGAAGGTTTCATATAATCTATTTGTCTATGATAGAAGATAAGAGTCAGAGGCATACCTGGACTTCTGAAATCTCTTATGCCTGACAGTTTACTGAAAACATATTCTTTCTGTTTTGCAGCTTGTGATCTCTGTACTTTTGACAGTTCCCTGTGTGTTCAGGGGTTTTGTGTAGAATTATTTTGTTTATTTCTCCCATTCTGAAAGTTCTTCAATAACATAAGAACATAAAAAGTCATTCTTATTCTCAAAGGGATATTTATTCTAAAGTTTCAAATGTACCTTTAAAAGTGGCTTGGGCTGAAAATCTTTTTGACTTTTCATTTCATAAATAAGCTCAGGTGAAGCTGCCCTTTTAGATTTTTCACCAAGGGAGAGATTTTCTTCGCACAGCTTGGAACAGGACTGTAAGCTGCTGTGCATAGGTCTTTGTTTTGTCACTAAAATGAACTGCTAGCAGCATTCATTAGGCAACCCAGTACCTAACATACCTAATAAATCTACATTTTGCCAATCTCTTGGAATATACTCATGAGCCAAACAGCACTAGGCGAGTGAGTTGTGGAGAAACATAGACTTTTGACCTCTCATCTTCCCAGATTCAATGCCGACTTGTTGGATGATTTTATGCAACAAGTGATTTTATGCAGAGGTTGTAACCTCTGTGCTGCAGATGGGTGATCTGTAACCTTCCTTTGTGCCTGGATTGGAAGGGTTTGCTAACGGAACTGGGGCAGCCAGCATCAAGGGTTGCAACTGCATGATTTGCATTACTTCACTATTAAAATCTTCCATCCCTTCCACCCACTTGTTGCAGCTGAGATATTTCTGCTTTTGTAAAATGTTTATTCAAGATTTTTCGTGCCTCTTACCTGACATCCTGACAGTTTTACCCATGTACCAAAAATCCCAAAGGCCAAATGAACATGCCTTTTTCTCCCACAGGCTGGGCGCACAGCTCTCTCTGTACACCAGTGCACCTCCCTTAGCTGCTCTGGAAGTACGCTGACGCACGCGAGCGGAGCCTCTGACCCGCAGGATATGGCTTTCTCAGCTCTGGTAGCACGTATGTGGCCTCATTTCCTGCTGAATGGGTCTGCTCTGACGAGGAAAGTGCCTAATCAGCACTCTGGTGCAGCTGACACAGCTCAGACTGACTGTTCGCTAGAGCCTGGAGCCCCTCGCTCCCCGGGGCAGTGTTATTGAAACCATCAGCCTCAGTCGCTCTGGGTGAGACCTGCTGTGCAAATCCCCTTTGCCTCTCTGCAAAGTCACATCTGTCAGGAGAGGTAACCACAGCCTCTTGGCTTTTGCTTCCTGTCCTCCCTCCCTGGCTATTCTTAACCTGCCTTCTTTCTTTGAAAGGCCTTACTTGCACCCTCAAATCTGCCTCCAGAATCTGCTGCAGGATTCCTGTGAGTGGAATTGTGTCTTTCCCTTACAGCAGCATTGCAGTGTGGCAGAGAGACACAGTGGCATCCACTGCAACTCACACAGGGCTGCTTTGGCTGCGCTCTAGCACTGGGAAAAAGGTCTTTGCAAGGCTGCAACTCTCGCCATGTGTTGATGGGCTGGGGTGGACCTGCTTTCATACCTGGGATGCTGTTAAGAAGAGTTATGCTTGTTCTGAGTGATGTATGGGAGTTTGCTACCCACCTGCAGCAGTAGACTGTGTCTCTGAACTTTTCATCTTTACTTGGACGGATCAGGGCAACTACAGCTTATCACCTTCCCACACCTCATCCAGGCAGCATGCAAAGATGCTACCTTGCCTGCCTGAAACTTGTAATTGGAGACATGAGTTATGACTGGGTCTTCTTCAGAATCCAGCAGCTGGTAGCTACCATGGCCCAAGGAATCCTAACTAAAAATTAATGTTTGCGATTAGAGATGAATAAGATCCAAACTGATTCATGTTGCCAAGCATGGAGGGTGTTTGGATCTGTATCCAAACTTTCCCATTCATTTAATGGGCCAAGTTACCTTTCAACTGTAACAGTCCAGAGCTTCTGAACAATATGGTTTAGGATTAAAAATTCTGTCCCTGTATTTTTCCATGGCTATTTTGTGGACTGACATGTCAGAAATACTGTTTTGTGGATCCAGCTCCATGTCAACAGGAAAAACACATGAGATCTGTCAAAATGTAAGCATCATGCTTTTTAGGTCTCTGAATGTCATGCAATGTTCACACCGTGTTTGGGGCTATGGTGCTATTGCCATTTGTTTCTGACTCACTGGCAAATTGCTGGATAGGGTGATGTTGTTAACTGCAGATTTCCTTTCCCCCAGTGTAAGGTGTCCTTCTTCCATTCTCTTTTTCTTTAAGGGTTATGAATGAATGATATATCTGTGTAGGACCTGAGGTTTTGTGGCTGTGGTGCAGCCATACTTTCATGAATAAGTGAAATCCTTATTATTGATGCTATATTCTATTTTTTGTTTTCTCTTTCTTCAAATGAGAGCACTTTTTTTTGTTCAGAAAACTTGCTTTTGTTACTACTTTTATGATTATGTTTGGGACTGCACAAAAGCATAGGGGATTTAGTGTGTTTTTCTTAGCTTTTGCTTCAAGTTTGGTTGTTCCAATTTTCAGGGTGCTGCTAATCCTGAAAAAATTGAGATTTGTAGATGTTTTGCAAGAGTATTTGGAGACTAACTTGCATAATTAGGTGTGTGTAAGAGTTGAAACCTTATTAAGTCTTGCTGCACATTATCATGTACAAAGACATAGCTTCAGCTTCATCTAGGGGTATATAGCAGTGTCATTTGAGGACCACTAAAAAGTCCATTGCTGTTCCAGTTCTCCAAAAATATTAAAATGTCACTTTTAGCTGGCCTTATTTCTGGCAGTAGGTGAGCAAATGTTATGCTAAGATGGATTTCTAAGGCCTTTCAGTGCATTAGTATGTTCTGGCTATGCATTCTCATTAGGCACCTGTCCCAGTTAAAACATTAATGACAGTATTTTGCTCAGCTACCCACTGTGAGCCTGCTGATCCCACTGTGCCCAGCTCAGAGAGGGCATGGACTGCAGAACCTCATGGTCAGTGAGAGTTGCCCTGACAATGCACGGTGCCATCACCTGTTTTGGCTTGCCTCCCTCCCC